GTGTCTGTCGCTATGAATCGAACATTTCAAAACGCACGTGTAATGTTTACATTTCACAATACCCCGTGTCCGGGGCCCGCGGTCTCGGTCATAAATGCCGCGTACGGTATGGTACTCGAGCACCGGGGCAACCTGATACTCGGTTCCCACGGTGATGGGGCGGCGAAGGGGCAGGCGGCGGAGAGGAACAGCAGCGGGGTGGCCGCGGCACGGACACACGCCCCTCTAACGCACGCAGGGTCACCGTCGGCATTGCTGCGCGCGAACCGACAGAGCCGACAAAAGACGACGACCGGTTTCCACCTGCGTGACGCCAGTCGTGTGGCACAGCGTTATTCCGTCTGCTTACGAACATACAGAGCGATTCGTTCGACCGCGAATCGCAGACCGTCGTAATATTTTATTCTAAACATTGTTGTCGTGGTGTATGCACGAGAGAAAAACGAAAAATATCCGTACAGGAAACGGAAAAAAATTATATCGTACCTGGGTTTTTTTTAAGACTCGTGTGCGCGCGCGTTTTTTTTCGTTGTTGTAGCAAACGACTTTTCTGAAATGTTATATTATAAACACATTACAATTCGTTAAGTCCACGATAAATTTATCTTCCTCATTACGGAATATTTAACATTTTTATAGTTATTGAACTGACTAATATTTATTTCCATTTGCCTACAAAGTGAAATTGCACGATTTAAGCGACTTTTATCTAAAGATTGTTTTTTACAATCATGAGCAAACGCATTTATATTATTCCTGTATCTGATATTATAATTGCGGTTACAAGATGGCAAATACATTTTATGGTTAAAACCTAATGGGATAGTACATTTAGTTAGGAGCTTACCTAAGACATTCGCCTCATTATTAAATGCATTAAGTGCAAGTGAGAAACAGGAACTTCGGAAATAAATGTAATAATTTTATTTATAGTCGATTTTTAATTTGTTCAAATGGATATCAAAGGTACCACCCTCCCCCACCCGATCCCATATCTCAATACGAAATGCAATTATCGTTTGAACTAAGGAAGTATAAACAATTCTCAGTTGTTGTTTATCGAGAATATATCTTGTGTTTTTTAAAAAAAAAAAAAAAAAACATAAAAGAATTTACGACTTAAACGCATACTATAATCTATATGTATGTTCCGTTTAAATTTGGGAATCAATATGCGTTGCTAGATATTTTATCGAATAAACTCTTTCGATGTAATTACAAGAACAACCAGCCGATATATCATTAACACGAGAAGTATTCTGGACGTTTAATTTCCGTTTTATATCGCGATTATTATATTGAATATCAACGACTTTTGTCGTGACTATGTATCACGACTTTTCTATATCGGAAATCCCGTTCCGATCGACGAGCACAATGTTATGGTTGACGGGACATTTTTAAAATTCCTTTATCGTGCTTATATTTCGATACCTTTGACAGCCTATTGGCCACAGCGTGTATTTTATATTTAAATAAATAATAATAACAATACGTGACGGAGTATAATATGTCAATCGATAACGTTTCTTATTAATACCCAAAGTCAAAAACCGTAATTGTGTGTACAAGTAACTGCTAACGGGGCTACAACCCGTACGGTAGCACAGACACACCGAGAACATAGGGTTCAAAATTTGCGTTTAGAAACCTAGAAACTGGAAAAACTTGGGAAAAAAATGGGAAAATGTACACGATAACGGTCTCCGTTAGTTTTGATTTGTTTTTTTTTTTTTTGTAATTCGGTTAGATATAATCTTAGAGACCTGACATCTTCACAGAATACTTAAGTTACTATTTTTTACGCCTGGTAAAATTTTTGAAATATTCCGTCAATTTTTCAGTGATTTATAGGAATTTTTTAATTTTTTTTTTTGGTTTTATGTAGACAAAATTATTTTGGCCGAGCAGAAATACAAAATTTATATATAGAAATAAAGAATAACAAATGAATGAATGCGTTGCCTATTATCGTGTATTAACCATTTTATTAATTTTGTTTAAACAGGCGACACATTCATTCATTTTTTGATTTTTATTAAATTTTTTTATTTATATACTTATATTTATTTATGAGTATTAACCATTTTAATAATTTTGTTTTTACTTTATTATTTTTACTATTTACTTAATAGTGAAATAAAAAAGTTGAGCGTAACTACTATACAAATTTGTTTTATTTATAATTTTTTTTTATATTGTCGTTTAAAAATAATTTATAATTCGATATCAAATACTATTATTTAATTTCAAATCTAATAAGGTGATAAATAAAGTTGTGTTCTTTAATAGGTTTTGATAACTATAAATCAAACCGATAATATTGTTTCTTGATAAATAAAATAAAAATGCTAATAAGAAAATCATTTCGTAATTTAAAAAGGTTCTTTCGGGGGGTTTTCAGTTTACTTTTTATATAATTATTTTTTCCGCACAAATTTAAAAGGAATTTTATTGTACAACTGTACACGATTTTTTTTTGTTTAGGTATATTGCTAAAATATGCTCTAAAAAGCAAAAACTGTACTCTGTAATATACGGAAAATAAAATTTAAGATTGATAGATTTCTTACACGGTGAATAGTATTTATGTTTCACTCTGCTATTTTTTTTTTTTATTATTCCAAAATAATATGCAAATTCTAGAAGTGCCTAACCCTATTCATAACGCTCGCGGCTTTACACTCGTCTGCAGTGAGTGTCTTACAAACGCACCTCAGCATACAACAAAATTTCCGGGAGAGGGGGGGGAGGTCCAGACCCCGTCTATACGGATGCCCAATTCGTTTAGCAGGCTGGATAGGTTAACAACGTATACAAATATTGAGTGTTTAATACGCCAACCGATAATTTAAGAACACGCACTGTACCTAATACTAGGCATGTATTGTATATGATAATAATATGTAACATTAAATTACGAGATATGTTAAAATAGTGGCATGTCCAGAAATGTTCAACGAGAGGATATTATGTATTAGGATATTAAGGTAGTGGATAATAATGAATACATAAATGGCTTGGTCCGAACTCGACAATGGGGAATTCAAAAGCCGGTTCTAAAAAAGCTATGCGTGTTAAAGGACTGAATTTTATCCGATGGAGAGGGGGGGGGGCAAGGGTTGCTAAAAGAAGCTGTACCTATTCCGAATTTCATACGTCCAAGACACGAGTGTCAACAAATCACAATTTTAGGCGTTCACAGACAACGGTAGCGAAATCTATTATGTATTAAGAGCGTTTCGTCATTGTCTTCGCCTCCGATTTTCAACAGTTTCTGGAAAAATTACACGCATTTTCTACGACATAGAAAACGCCATTAGAACATTTAGTAGGGATAAAGTATTCGAGCGCAATAATGGGAGCACCCGAGTCCATTATAATATTATATGGGCACGAAAATATTGTACGCGATTAGGTCAGGTCAACGCATACCACCCCGATGAGTAAGTACCAAAGTGTTTGCGTTTACGATACGAGTTCAACGAACATTTTGAAGGACGAGACCGAAAGAAAAAAAACAAATAAATCTTTTGCGAGCCGCCGCCGCCGTCTTTTGTTGGCCAGAAAACAATGCGCGCGCGTCCGCCCGGCACAATGGGCGAGTCGAGTAGGTAAATATGATATTTTGGAAACGATGATGGACGGCAACGGATGAAGAGACGTCGGCGGTACGTAAACATTAAGTATTTTCAAAACATCGGTTTTATCGTCATTTTCGTTTTCATTAAATTTAATTAGATACCTCCTGTCTATAGGTACCTTTTGTTATGCGAACAGTTCAAAAGAAAACGCAAGTATTGACGGCGGTACCTACTGCCTGTGCCTCTAACGCTGTGTAGGTACTTACTGATTGTAAAATTTAGTTGAAGAAATTAGTGACAACGGTTTTTACGATTTCACAAGCCGGGTTTCGAAAAAAAAAAAAAAAAATTATGTCCAAAATTTCATGCATAACCTACGTGCGATAATTTGTTGAAAACCGTTGTCGTTTGTTTTCAATTTCTCAATTGTATTATATATATATATATATATATATAAAAAAAAAGAAACAGATATTTTAATTATAACCTTTCTAATGCACTAACCAGATTAAAAAACGAGTTTAAAAAATTCACCATTCAGAATTGAAAATGTATTTTATTTTGGGACCTGGTGAGTATTAAGTAACAATGTATATGTGTAGCAAGTAGCAACACTGACATGTTCATGACATACAACTATAAAGAAATGGACAGTCCATTCATATAGAATAGGCCCATTATGGACTGATAAGTAGTAGAAAGAAGCACAGTAGCCACCATTGTTGACAGAGATAGTAACCATCTATAGTCATTGTCCCATTAATACTGAGACGAGGCCAATTTTAACAAAGATAACATGTTTAGAATAATAATATATACAGGTGTAAGCTATCTCTTTCCAACAATATTAGTATTAGGCAACCAAGATAAACCTAGTTCATAATATATTAATGTGTGTGTGTGTGTGTAAAGGCACACAAAAACTGGAAATTCTTAATATAGTACACAAGGCAAAAAGTTAATCGTAATCGTCACGTGACAAGTGGCCTTTTTTCATGTTTTCAGTGGTTCTACGTTTGGGAGAAATGGAAAAAGTTTAGTGCGCGTTTTAAAAAACGGTAGGTGGTAATACAGTGCTATTCATAGTCTGAGTAGCTCTGATGGTCACTTGGCGTGTGACAACTCAGTTTTCGTATTAGAACAATACACAATGAGAAAAATGTAGCTAAGTTAATACAACAACTGATAAGTGGGCTTTAAATTAATGTCCTTAACTGATTCTGATACAAATATTTTAATTAAAGGAAATTGCAACTCAAATTTTCTATTAAACATTGGTTCAATTTTTTCATGGGATATAGAAAAAAAAAAAAACTACTTTGAATTCGAGATTTTCACAACCTAATTTAACCTCAATGCTCGAATTCTTAGTTTTTTAATAAAGAAAACATAAACCGATAAGTTGTATTTTTTTTTCAGTAATTTAATAAATAACAAATAATATTCTTAGATAATAATAGAATGAAATTAATTTCTTTTACACATGGTTATATTTCACACATAATTTCATGGTTAGTAATGTTTACATGTTTAATGTACATACGATGAGACAATAAATAATGATATGTTTCAGGCAATTTATTATATATTTTATCTATTATATACAAATCGGTGGATGGCGGGATTAGATATTCATTATGTATACGTTTATACCCCACGTATCCGCTTGCATGGGTTTTGAAATAAATAAATAAAAAACACGGTTTATAATATTATTAGGATTATATAAATAATAATGATTATAATAATATAATAACAAAAAAATATATAATATAACTACTTATAAAAATGTAGTCTGTTAATTTTGTTCGCTAATATTTTGTAAATATTGCTATATTTTAATTTTTAAGCTTATTTTATTCAAATAATAATAATTCATTGTTTTCATTATTTTTTTTTTTTTTTTAGTAATACATATGTTTGAAAAATATATATATATAATTAATTAATTTTTAACCATTAAATATATGCGTATACACATATATATATATATATAATATATATTATACATAATAAACACTTGTCTGAGTATTTATAATGTATATGTATAACTTTAACACAACCTGGTTTTTTTTTTTAATGTATGTTTTACAAACACTCAAATAGGTCATTAATTGACAAAATTGCTACTTTTGTTATTTCAATATTTCAGACTGAAATGAATAAATGGAGTAAAAAAACAAAAACAATAGCGTTAAAAAAAAAAAAAAAATAATAATAATACTTGGAACTAAAGAGAACTTAGATAATAATAAAATAAAAGTGGACGGAAACTTTTTTTAAGTTGAAAATAAGAAGAACATTATTCAATTCCCTAATAGTTTTCAACAAGTTAGAAGATAAGGAATATGTTAAAACAGCGGCACAAGTAGAAAAATAATATGTCAAGCGAGATTATTAATATTTGCCACTGGATTTGAAATTGCACATTGGTTTAAGAAATATTTGATTATCTGAGAGTAATAAAAAAAAAGTCTAACATAAAAAAATAATAATAATTACACATGACAACTTGAGCTCGACCGTTTATATATCTTTTTCGTTAGAAATTGGCACTTTTCACAACCTTATATATATATAAAAAAAAAAAATCTCATAATCTACAGTTATGATATACTTATATTATATGGATAGGGGATTTAGTTTACTATGTACATGATTGATTTTAATGTTAAAGGGTGTCGTAGACGTTTGAAACTAATTATACTGTTCAGCTGGAGTGTATAGAGATGTATGAGGTTGGTACAAAACCTTCCTCGATATTTGGAGGTTGTCTTCTAACACGTGTCCAACCATCTCCTTGATCTTGTTCGATGATTAATAGTTCCTCTCCGTCAAACATTGGTATTGAGCCTTCACTTGTAGCTGTAACCATAAATTGTGATATTACATCAATTGTTAATAAGAGCAATTTTTATTCTTTTAAATTTGTTTTTTAGATAGTAGAGTGTTAGTCAATTTAGATAAGACATACCTGGAAAATCAGAAGTGTATTTAAATTATGAATAGTAATATTGTGATATAGACGCATATTATATTGTGCTATTGCAGTATAATTGAACACTTCGATAAGTAAAACGGACTAACAATCAAACATTCCAGTTTTTTTTTTAACAATTTTATTTTAATAATATGGATAATAAATTGTATTTAAAACGGTTGTTAAATCAGCAGAATACATGAGGTGTGATATTAGCTAAACCTTAGCTAAATAAACAGACATGTCAGAAAAATTGTTCTACGCCGCATGAAGTGTACCCCAAACGAATAAGCGAAACAATTTTGATTAAAATTGGTTTATGTTTTTATCACGGTTGTTGCACTGAATTTATAGCAGACTTATCTAGAAATACTTTTTATATAATAGAGAGTTTAAAAATGAAACATTTAAATGCATATTTTGTTGATTTTTGCATATTTAATATTTTCTAAACATTTTTTTTTTTTAACTAATTTATTTTAAATAATATTAAATTTAAAACTCAATATTATTTAACAAAATTATATATTGTTATTTCTTACTGTTTCAGTCTATTATTATTAATTTAACGCCAATGGTGCGATTCGTGTTTAATCTTTTAATTTTTATATTTTTTGTGTATATTAATAACATTATATGGTTTTGAATAATAAACTGAATAATTGTTTGCATATTTAACATTTTTTTATGCACAAGAATTTTTTTTTTTTTCGTGTATATTTTGGCCTTTTTGGTTCCTAAACTTTCGAGCCCTAGTCATGACTGAGATGATATCACAGATAATAATTTATGTAACAATTCAAATGATAATTTTCAATGAATGATATGGACTGAACTGGATACAAAATGGTGGGTTGGAGGTGGAGGCATGGTTATTGTACAGTGTCTTTCAAGACTGAGGCATATGCACAGTAATAGAAAAAATATGTATTTTTGATGAAATGCCTGTTTATTTAGCTCTTAATAATAATAATATTATTGTTTTTACCTTCAAATGCATAGAGAGCAGTACATGTACCAAGCGGTGGCAATTCATGAATATCATAATAAGGTGGAGGATCATCTTCATTTGTTAATGAATTACGTGAGGCGCCCAGACTGACAGTTTCACCAGAATACCGACTGTAAAACAGTATTGTTAATAACATATTAAAGATAAATTATAATATTATCATTGACTAAACAATATACAAATGCAGTATTAATATTTAGCTATCAACTGTGGGATCAAATATCTCTATATTATAGGTTATTTGCCTATTGTATAATCAATGCCATAATATATTTAAAACTTTACTTGTTTATTCCAACAGCAGGTATAGAAACACTAGAATCGGACGCAGAACGGCTTAACGATTCATCTTCTCCAAGAGGAGCTTTCCCATCTATTGTGGATGTATTTAATCTACTAAGGGCGTAATATAATATTTAAAATTAAAAATATAACAATTATTATAATTTACTTACTTGTGGTTAGATAAATTGTTAGTGCTACCATTACCAATGCCATTATGTTCGACTGGTTCATGTTTACGTGTACCAGCAGGGCTACCATTGCATTCGACTTCTTGCAAAAGTCCCTGATACCTAGTCATGTCTAAATTAAGTTTATCGATACGCTGAGAACACTCATTCAGTTGACCTTCTGTAGACATAGGATCACCAAGGGCTGGATTCGATTCATAAACTCCTTTCATTTTCATTAGACCATCTCTAGAGAAACATTATATAAAGTACATATGAGTTCAGATAACATATTAAAGATATTTAGGTATTTTGTAAATCATTTATACTTGGCCGCTATTTCTTGATGTAATTTTGCTTGTATCTCATCTAGTTTTTGAAGGATCTTTTTTCGACGTTGATTTGGTGGTAATTCACTGTAATCATCCTTATCACCAGATGATGAAAGATTATTCTATAATAAATTACATAAATATTATGAATACAAAATGGGTTTAAGATAAAATAGTTATATATTATGTATTTGTGTATACAATTTAAATATTAATAGTGATTTTTTTAATAAAACAAATAAAATAAAAATGAAAAACATTGATGTAATAAAAGTTTAATTAATTAATTTAAGCTTTATGAAAAATTTGTTAAAAAAAAAACCATTTAAATATTAATTTAATAATATTAAAGTCGTACAAATTTAGGGAAATAACTCAGAAATTTTTACAAAAACTTGCTTAATTTTGATAAGTAAGAACTAGTTACACAAAAATAAAAATTATTAATTGTTATCAATATTTTAATTATCTTGAAAATAGCTGTTGTAAGTATTGTTAAAATAAAGCAATTGTAATTAAAAGCAAGTTCATAAACTAAATAGATAGGTAATATTAATATTTGATAATATAAGTTTATAGACATTTGAAAAGCACTTACACAAGTATTATAGTAACAATTTAATTAGTTTAATTCCTATTAGTAAAAATTTTTTTCTTTATTTTGTAATGAACTTCTGTTATAATCATGTATTAATGGTTTTATGAGGTATACAATTGAAAAACATTTAAAATTTAAATACAATATTTAGTATACCTTGACAGAACTGCATACATCCATTAGCTTCAGAGTGCATGTAAAACATATAAAGCAAGCGTGATTAACCATGCAGTTAGTAAAAAAAATAAAAAAAAATAAGTATATTAACAAAAACAATACTGCTTTAAAATAATTTACAATAAACCTAATTTTTTAAATTGGTTATTTTTTTTTTTAAAATTTGTTATTTTTAGTGTTGTCAAATAATAATAATTAGTCTAACGCCAGTTTTTTAAAATTTTCTGTATTAAATAGTCTCCGTAGTTTAAAAAAAAAAAAACAAAAAAAATTTACAACACAAAAAATTTTTATTTTGTGTTTGATTTTAAAAAGTTTCAAACTATAGAGTACTTAGTAACACATTTTTAAAAAATAAAAAAAATTATGTAGGTATATTGCTTGCCCAAAACACGAGTGCGCAAATCAAATCAAATTGTTGCATGATCACTAAGCTCACTCCCCACATTTGTTCCAGTCATACTGACCAACTCAAATTGTTTTAATATTAATTCAAAAGTAACAAAGATAATTAATAAATTTAAAAAAAAAAAAATTAATTATAACATTTTATTAATCGGATATTTATAACTGTCATGTAGGTACTTTGCAAAAATAATCACACTAGAATAAAAAAAAAAACATATACATTAATCCATTCGACGGGCAATCGATATTAAGTATCATGAGTAGGTTAGTATTCCTGAAGTACTTTTGTGAGCACACGTTCATAAATTTAGGCTAGGAGGCTGTTCCTATGTTTCCTTTGAAAATTGTGTGTACTTACAGAAAGAAGATTGGGGTAGTATTGAGAGTAATATTCAAGAAGAACAATATAACATTTCGTATAAATATTTTTTTTTCCAAACATAATTAAAAAAAAAAAAAAAAAGTGTTAAAATCAAGATTATAGTCAGATAAGATATATGATAATATATTTTTTAAATATGGATTAATTTTCATACATACCTTGTTGGAGCTAAATATGGCAAATAGGCCCACCCGTTTTTTCAGTTTACCAGCCGACATGGTGCCTTTAACAGTCATCGATTCAGCCCTATGAGCGCCTATACCTGAAGATATGTAACTGTTACCACCAGGCATGGTGAGCGGTGTTGATTCACCGCCACGGCTTAAATCATCAAACGGAAAATCGCCAGGCGGTTCAAAACCAGATTTATATCTTTCTATCACTAATATCGTGTCCTGTAAGTAATAAAAGATAAATAAATAAAAGGACATTTTCAAGTGCCTAGGGCTTGTCTTTAAGGGATGCACGTAAATAACCATTGTAATTATAATTACAAGTATGACGGTGTATTTTTAAACGCCAAAAAAAATCTATTTATGGTACTTGAAAAAAAAAAAAATGTTAAAAATAAACAGGAACCATGTCTCGAAATTCAACAGACCACTCAATGTAAGTATAGTGTACAATGTTGCATAGGGTTAGACATAATGCCATTATATTTTGTTATTATTTATAATTTTTTTATATTATTGGTTTTACAATGAAGAGTATGTTTAAAACATTTTTGTTTTTTCTCCGTAAACCACTCTTCTACTAAAAATATTCAAGTATAGTATTTTTTCTGAAATTGTTTTCTAGTTGAAGCATTGCAGAAATCATTTTCTTTGCTTTGTTATTAAAATAATGAAAATTCGGCAGAAATGTGTCTTTTAAAATCGGGAATATTTCAGGAAAAACGGTTGATTTCGATTCTGTTGCAATTATGTACCAAATAACTATTTTCTTATTTCCAATAAATCGTGAAATGTTCAATATTTCGTTGCCGTTTTTAGTACGTAATTGGAAGCTATCAAGAGATTATCCGAGTTTTTATTATTTATTTATCATTGTTTAATTGAACTTTGGTCAGAATCGCTCCCGACTACAACAGCGGTCCTCTCACCCCCCCTCCTCCCCCGTCAACTCCGCTAGCGTCCGAAATATGAACGTTTCTTTTCTCTCTCTCTCTCTAGGACAACGGGTGTGTACTTATACATTATAATAATGGCCAGGGCGTTTATACTTGTTTCTCGTTGATTTGATTGGCAGCGTTTATTATGCCGTCCAGACACTTGTTTATGATCGGGAAAACGTTTCGTTCGACGTCCGCCGAGTGTGCCATGAAATGCCGAACGTTGCGGATGCGTTTCTCGTCGAGTTCTTGCAGCTGCCTGAACACCTCCGGCATCAGCGCTTTATAGTGCTGGCTCTGCGAACACGATGCGAACATTTAAAACGGCCGTTAACACGCGGGCGGGCACACATTCTTTCGGCGTGGCGTTTTCCCGCCGCCGCCGCGGCGTCGTCGTCGTCCCCGCGCGCGCAAATACGCCCGGCACGTACCTGTAGCTCGTTGGTTTTCTGCAGCTGATTCGCGTACTCGTTTTTCGACTCCTCGCAGTGTTGGTTCTTGATGGCCATGTTCATGCGCTGTTTTTCCACCTCGGCCCGGGACAGGTTCAGGTCGGCGTCGGCCCGTTGAAAATTGTCCAAGGCCCGCTCCGCCTCCTTGAACGCTTTCTCGTAGTTTTTCCGCGATCGTTCCAGCGACGCCACCTGGTTGTTGATCATCGCCACGTACTTTGCACTGTCCTGGAGTAACTGCAACACCAACGGCAGTCGTAAAAAAACGGAAATACGATAATAACGACTCAGACGTATCTTTGGTCCCGGTTTCAAGAGTCAGTGTTTTTTTTTTTTTTTAAATTTTTTTATGTCTAAACGCGGCATAGGCGTGCGCGTTTTCAAATACGCGATTGCTTATATTGGACGCCGTACAAAATGTACTCGATACCTTTTTCCCCTATAGGACCAAAGATATAGTTCGAAAATATTAAATATTATAACGAGACGACAATGGATTATAGGTATTTCTAATAATATTAGGCATGACATATCCAAATAAAAATATATATATATATATATGAGCATAAAAAAAAACGTCTGGTTACGTATTATAACATTTTTACGTGTGCGCATACCTTCTTTCTTTCTTCTTTGATGTCCTTGGCCAGATAATTAATTTCTCTGATGACATCGGATTGGAGATTTTCGGCTATTACCTCGTGTTGACCCGCCAAATCGTTTACTTCGCACAGCATCGCCTTGAACGCTTTACACGAACTATACCTATATGTACATATAAAAAAAAAAAAGAAAAAGAAAAAAAAAAAGAAGCTCGTATGAATAATAATAAAAATCGACTACCTATACTAAAGATTATTATAACAAGATAACAATAGATGATCAATGATACTGTTTTGTAATAGGAAAATGACCTTACTGTGTATATAATATAATACAGACGCTATTTTATTTTTATAATATTAATATTATATAGGGCATATCGTGTAATAGAATATTATGATTAGATGTTACTTTTTACACATAATTTAAATTTACAACAATCAATTTTTTAAAAAAAAAACTTTGAAATCGGCGGACAATCGATAAAATTTACATACTACTAACACGTAGGATTAAATCAGGGAATTGCGGGAGTATGCGGTTTGTATACGAATAAATAAGTAGTCTAAAATGTTTTCAGACTTTCTAAACACTATCTGCAGAGACGCGTGCCATTCATATTTCCACATATTAAATAAATTCTCCAGAGGTTTAAAAAGGTTTCACGGAGAAATGGAAATGTATTTATTATTTCAAATGCATAATTTCAGCTTCTCATACCGGAAAAAAAAAAAAAAAACAAAACGTTTTGGGAGATATTAAAACCGCATAAAATAACATCCAATTTATTTAACGAGAATATTTAAATACAAATTAAGAGTACAAATAACAATAATAAACAAAAGCGATATAATCAAACTTCTTTGATTGATATTTTCTCAAACTTTCATTTTATATAAGAAAACGTGAGAATGAAAAAAAAAAAAAAACCCAACACAATAACGGTTAAACGGATTATTATTTATTAATTTGCATATTATGTAAACAATAAATTTCGTAAAACTTTAAATATTTGATAAAACAATATTTATGTTAAATTTTTGTTTTTGTTTAAATTTGTACAAAGGTACATAATTGTCATTACATTCATAATTGTCATGTGAAAACAAAAAATTGTTATACAATAATAATCACATAAACGAAAAAAAGAAATTTAACTCATTATATATATATATATATATATATATAGTGTTATAGTTTTGTTTACGAATATTAATTAGGTTAATTAATAGTTCAAGCGCGTATACTATTGCGTATGAACTACAGCTAAGGACCGTCAAGGACAAAGAACGCCTCCGTTATGAATATAATATAATATTTCGATAATTATTCGCATCCTTTTTTTTTAATTATTATTAATAACAGGTACAGTCCACCCTCGCTGTAGTGTAGTGTATTATTATATTACATTAGGCATAGTCCAACATGTTGAATTATTACTGAAAATCGACCCCCCGCTTTGACCCCCAAAGGATGCGGCGGGGACTAGAATGGTAATGTATTGTAATTGATGGAAAAAAAAAAAAAAAAGGAAATGGAAACGTTCCCCTTTAGTATCGATTCCCGGACGTACAGTTACGTCATCGTTAACGTGTTATGAGTCACGCAAGCTTTTGGCCTCGGAGAAAAAAAAAAAGAAGATTCCCCCACATAGAATTACGACTATCGGGAAAGATACTGTAGAACTGCATCTTACATGTTGTATGTTTCTGGCGAATTGTCGAAATACCTACACAGAATATCTGGGGATTCTTAAACAAGAAAACGATGATTTTGAAAAGGGAGAAAAAAAAAATCAAGGCATTTTTATTTAACATAATAACAAACATACCGGTATACATCCGATTTCAATCGTCGATAAAATGATAAAAAACAAACGGACATACTTCGTACGATGTAACCGTTGTAGGAGAGAATACGGGAAGGTAGTGGTAAAAAATGTAATGTATTTAACTGTACACCAAGATTAGTCGTTGCTAACGAAAAACGATTCTGTGCGGCGTTCGTCTACACATGTTTTGAAAGGCCGTAATGTTTGCGAATTGAAAATAATTAATCTCGTAAACTTTCCCGTTTTTCCTCATTTATCATGGCAACTTTTGGGAGAATAAAAAAAAATGACCACTCCGGTCGGATTTCCTTTCAGAAAAAGTGCTACACTTGAAGATCGGAGCAAAATGTCCGGTAGAAAGTTGTTCATAAAAAAAAAAATAAAAAATAATATCAATGTAAAACCAATACATTCCTCGCTCTGCTCAGAATCTAAACTAACGATGAACGTTATTGATTTTTCGAAAACGTAAAGGTACGCCTAACATATCTACTGAGTAATTATTATTATGACGCACGGGAATGGAATGCGCACGAGTTTAAGGCAATAATAGTAAAAATATATTTTATGAATCGCTATTGGACAAACCTGGGAGTCACAGTATTTTACAATAATACTATATTGAAATTATTTTTGTATATACATTTTTTTTCCGTCTCCGATAGGTTTAATAAATGAATTACGATTTCCTGAAGTAAAAAACAGGTTAAAACGATTTTAAAATTATTTATCGATTGCGTTTGCATTGCAAGTACATCGTTTTCGACTTCGTTAGACAGAACGATATTGTAGCACAATGAATACTGCTGATTATTATTAAACTAAATATACGAGTACACATTAACGTTTCATCGTTATATCGGTACGATGATGGTGGATAATTTTTGCCATTATATTATATGTTTAAAATGTGCACGTAAACACATTTCGGTTACGTGTATTTCGTAATTTTTCTATTTACGAAAGAATAAAATGAAAAACGTGCAAGATATTCGGCTAATACCTATAGCTAAACGTACAATAACAATGCGGTATTTAAGTGTAATAAATTTAATATATACATGCAACTGCAGCTATATTCCAAATATTCCTGTATCAGAATGTGTACACACACAGGGTCTTGCAAATTACTGCATACTACTACATTCAAAACAGTAACATATAATTTAGAAGACCATATCATTGTAGGTACTCATTGATCAACTATTTATATGATTAAGCTTTTAAGTTATGGAAGATTTTAATAAAAAAAAAAAAAAATTAAATTAGTCTTTGTCTTTAAACGAATGGACAGATTAATTAATTAGTTGATTTAAAGCAGTACGCGAGGTCACAGACTCTACAGAACGAAGCGAAGACGTTAATTTAGATTATTTAAGTCGAGATCATAATGTTATTAGTGGATGACATTTAGAGTATATTGAACTTCGCTCTTAGCTTTAGCCAGCGACGCAGATAACCAAATGAATATTGTTTTTTTTTTTTTTTTTTTTTTTTTTACCTAGTTTTAGTTTCGAACAAATAAAATAAAGCCAAACCCGTATTTTTTTTTTCAACATTTTTATTTAAATTAATTTATATATAAATATTCTGACAAGTAACAACATAATACAATTTGATGAAATAAATAAAGAATAAAATACAGCGAAAAATTAGCATATATTAATATTCGCATCAGAGGGCAAATTGAATAATTAATAGCAGAGATGTCAATACAATTTTGCGATATTGATAATTGATATCAATTTAAAATTGACTGCAAATCAGTATAAATGTTTGCGTGTCTTTCAATGAACCAGACATTAAAACCTATACTTTATTTACTGTTAATCTATACTGTTATTAATAAATTATTTTATCAAAAATATAATAATATATAATCCTTTGTTAGTAAATACAAATAAATAAGGCCTACATTTTAATGAAAAATTTATTTTTTTTTTTTAAGTGGAGGGCCTAAGAATACATTTCGAATACATAATTCGATTGATTCAATCACAGATAGTTCAAAAGTGAAACTTTTATTTTACATTTTTTGGTAATTTTGTTAGATTTACGCACTGATCTAACCTAACCGGTAGACCGCGGGCGGTTTAAATATCGTTCTCCTTTTGTTAGAACTTATTTTTATATAATTAATAGATAAATCACAATGAATTACTGTTCATTTTTATCTAAATATTTCATTATTTTGTTGTTAATTTATCAAATAATATTATTCAACAGCGTTTATACTGGCAATTGTACTTGAAATATTATACCAGCGTTAATAAAAGTATGACGAAATATATTATTTAACTATACATTTTTGTTTTATTATTTGCACGTATGTTTGTTATTAATACCTATTAGGTAATTTTTAATCATACATTTTTGTTAGAAAGCGGATCCTCAAAGAAAAATATATTCTTTGTATCTTAGTATAGATCTCTACCACAAAAAATTTGGCCGCCCCTGTTACATTATATATAATTGTTATCCGAACTCAAATTTAGTTAATCCATAATAATATTGTAGCAAGAAATTTTGTTTTTATAAAATTTGCTTTAGGTAATAGATGTTAGGTATTCTTAATTAATACAGATTGCCAATAAATTGTTCTATTTATGATTTCGATAACGCCTTCGTCTTATCTTTTTTAACAATATTGTGGTGCGTCAGGCAGCTCAAACAAATAAAAACGACATTTTCATTCTTTTTTCCCTTTAAAAGAGTTTTTAGCAGTTTTGGGTTTTAATATACATTTTTTTTTTTTTTTATTTACTGTACAAAATGTCCACCAGAAATTTTATAGTCAGAAGTCCCCACTAGTCATGACTTATCTGCGATTAGAGTAATGTGTCCGTTTTATACATTATTATATTTCGAAAGTTGATCACTACACAATGCTTTGTCTACATACTGTTACACGAAAAAAAAATAACGCAATATACTTAATATTGACGCTGATTTAAGAGTGAAAATATTAAGCCGAACTAGGACGAAATTATGAGAAAAAAAAAACTGTTCAACTCGTCTCGTAAAGATCGAAAATCAATACAATAAACTAATTTAAATGACTTTAATATAATTAAATTGTAAAAGGTAATTATTATGCGAATATGCGAATTACGATTTCCGAGTGCGATTATAGCGATTTCAGTATTTTATATAGAGTTTTAACTTTTAAGTAGGTATACTATAATATTTGTATGGCACTCGGGCAATGAATTAGTTATTTTCATGGGATATACGCATGATAGTTCGTGATTATTTAGATAGACAGTCTATTGAAATAAATGGATACAATAATTTATTGTTTAGGTGCTTCAAAGGATCAAAGATTATATTATAAAATATTACACTGAAAAGGTCGTGGTACCGAAAAACCAAAATTAAAAAGTTCAACACAATCTGCGTAATCATATTTTTGTTTTGTTACTCGTTAGTCGGGCCGAGACAATAAATGCGGACAGGTAATCTTTATTCGACGGGTATCACCACATCACGTCTTCTTGACTAATAAATACATACATACGTGTCGGTATTCGCACACACAGAAGTTCTGTAAAACGTATTTAAAAAAAATGCGTATGATTTACGCATTTGACGGAAACGCGTAGAACAACGGTATCAACATTCAAATATCAATCGATAATATTGTTTGGACGACAATCTATCATTGTAACGGGAACCAAACAGAAACGGCCGCATCGGTGCCAACTCTTTTACTTTAATCTCTCTACCCACGAATTAAGATCATCTTGATTCGTACTCTCAACCAATTACTATACGCAGTCCACGATATTTTTTCTATCCATTATAATTTTTAAAGTCCGAGACCGTTATCTAAACGACGACGCGTTTAAATGAATATAGGCTAGGTCAGTTTATCGGTGAAATTATTGTCCGTGTTCAAAAACAATAGGGTTAAAAACGGATATACTATACAAATCGCAACGGTCGTTTACGTAACGCTCCCCGTAAAAAATAATTGTTGTAACAGGTCATCGTGCAGAGTATTTATGTGCATGCGTACGGCGTCCCTTAAGCTTTTAAACACACCGGATCACATTTTTAAAAACCGTTTCGTAATCAGATCATAACCAATTTACAAACCTAGTGCATATTTTAAAACGCGTACTGCGTACGAATTCGCAAACTGTACGGTAGGTGTTTTATGAGGTTTGCGTTTATATAAAAGTAAAATTAATATTTTTGAAATTTGTGCTCGGTGCAAGCTGGGGGGAACAGCTGTAAAACACGGAAAGGTGACGTCGGAACGCAATATCGTAAAAATCCTTTACATTCCGGATTTTTAAAATGTAAAAACGGGGAAATTTAATAGGTAAAACCCAACGGTTCCGGACCCGACAAAAGTCATCAGATGATTCGCCCGCTGGTGTTCGGGCCATCTCCACTCGACGAGCTGTTCGGAATTTCAATCGAAGTAACAGCAGATACGTTATGAAAAACAACGTCTGGTAGTAGGTGGGGATTGTTTTCCTTGTGTGGATCTCACGAGGATAAAGAAAAACTCGATTTGAAAACGTTTACGACGTAAAAACATAAAATCTTAAATACCAATGATCTCATTTGCCGGGTTATTACGTTCCGTGGTTTTGGATTCCGGATAAAAAATTCCGGACTGTTATTTCGACTTGTAAAAACAAATAGTCCAATCAATGTGCACATATAATTGAATAGCTATGAATAATATATGATAATATAACGGGACTTACTGGTATTCGTCTTCGTCTTTTTTTTTGGGCTGGTAATTTTTAACCAACCGCCTGAAAAAAAAAAAAAAAACAACATAACAATATTAATGCAATATAAAATAAAACGTTTTGAAGTATTTACTATTTATAGACGTAAATAATAATAATAATAATAATAACAATAACAATAACAATAGTAATAATAGATAATACAATATCGATAAAATTACCGATTTATTTATGGCCCGTAAAAATGCGAACCACCGTCACCGCGGAGTGTCGGCGGGGGATGATGTCGTCAAACTATTAGGTTGTTTCTAACCCCAGCCCCCCACCGTCACCCCGTCGAAATAAATAACGATTGTCGACGTCGCGGACACAATTGTTGCGAAACGCCCGTCGAATTACCGGGCCCCCCCGATCGACCGTTATCGTCAATTAAAATGTATAATCCATTTTCAATGCGCGAGGTTAGAGGCCGGTTGGGTTAGGCACACTGTAGGTTCGATAAAAAATAATTTAGCGTTCACAACCGACGGCACGGTGCACGTGCAATTTTAATGATATCATTTTTGTTCTTATGACGGCCGCGCTAAACGATAACCCCGCGAGAATCGCGGACGGAGGAAAAACAGTACACGGGTGCCCGGACCGATGACACGGTCAGTTCAGTTCAATTAGCAACGCGAGCGCCGGGCACGACGGCGTAAGGGCGAAGGTGAAACAAAGGGGCGCGCGCGGCCGTCCGACTTCCGCTGAACGTCGCAAGTCGGTCGACCGGATTCTGGGATTCGCGCGTCGTCGCGGGCCGTCTCCGTCCCGCGAACGATCCGCCGCGTTCGGCAGCTTGGCGACTTGGCGCCGTCGGTTCGGAACAGCGTCCGCGGCGCGGATCGACCGAACGGCCGGAACGCGAAGATAACGGACGTCGTGCGCAATGCGCAGTGCAAATGCGCACGGCGGGTTTTCGCTCCACGTGCGTTTAGAGCGCGACGCGTGAGTACGCGGATAACATTAACCGGGATAGTTTCAAAACGCTCGCGGTGGCTCTCCGTCGAAACAATCGAAACGACGAAACACCCCCAATACACCAATACACGGCGTCGTTGCGCAGATATTAATTTTCACATCACCGAGTTCGGCAATATGTCAATTTAGTCCAATGTTGAAACCAACGGGTACCGCGTCCCGCGTTTCGTCCATTTTTATCGGACCGATTGCACGCGGGTTCCTCGTTTTCATATTCGAACAAATATTATCGCGTCTGGTTAACGACAAAATTATAATTGTTTATTTATTTATTTATTTTAATACACGCAAGGCGGTTTACAAATAATCGTAATTACAATATTATTGTTTGTCGCGACGTGACCCCCGCTATCAGTCGGACACCAAAATTGTAACGTGCGTTGTTTTTTTCTTTCCAACACAGGTTCAATGACAGCGAATACCAATAAAACACGGGGGCCGTTAACACAATGTCATGCCCAATGACCGAGAAATCTGAGAATCGGACAAGACGGAACTGTATATTGTTATATGCGGTGTAGCGTTTAGACCGAGAAAAAAAAAAAAAAAACACTGTTCACGTGTCCGTTATACATACCCAACTATCGTAAACGCGGTAGGTTAGGAGGTACCTATTTATATCGCAATTTTCACCGTAAACACTATAATAATATTCTCGTACGTAGGTATAGTATATTCACAACGACATAAATCCCAAAGAATTCCGTATAATATTCTAAGCGATATTTAAATGAAATAACCATACAATAGAATACACTGCACCGGTGCGGTTTTTTTTTTCTTGTTTTTTTCCTAGTAGGTTTTTCGTGTCAAAATGGACACACGGTCAAGTCTATTGGACACCCGTTAGAGTAAGCTTTCTGTCCGCCTACTTTAAATTAAATGATAAATCATTGAATTACAGTAGATTTTGTAACGAAATAATAGATTTCATGCAGGAAACATACTCGCACCGGAGGCGGAATGAGTATCTGGGGAAAGTCCAAAAGTAAAAAGAAGTTCTGGTTTATCTGCTCGTGGAGTGTTATAAGAGAGAGGGGAGTGGACACACGGTGAATATTCAACAAAAAATACACTGGATTACAAAAATCGTGGGCGAGTCTAATTTTAAACAATTTTTTTATCTATTAAATAAATAACCAATATTAAATATTATACATTATGAACGGGAAAAAATCGTGGGGGGAGGGGAATATTTTTTTCATCTCTCCGCCCCTGTAAGGTTCTAATAATATGTTTCGCGCCGGTTGCCATAATTCGTAGATCCTACAGACGATTCCAATATTGGATTTCGGATAAATAAATATGTCTATATAGTTTCTATGCACCAATGAAAAACAATATTGTGTTGAAATACGTCCGAATTTTATTGCAAACCCGAAAGGAAGTTACAAACCGACTTTTTAAAACGTAGTCAGAAAACAATAATTATTATAATACACCTATATAATTGTTTCGGACGGTGTAGCAGTCGAAGAAAAACAAAATTATACATTTAGCATATTGCATACCTCTACAATCGCACGATATTTCGCCAACACCGTGGAATCGAATAAGAACACAAATACTTGACATACTTCATAGTTCAATAACAGGTATCTATTATCGTTAAGTAATAATATCGATTTATTAATCGTATATTAGTCCGCGGATATTTTTCCAGACGGGTAGGTGGGGAGGTAATTTAAAAAATAAACGATCGGTTTTTTTTCCCTATAAAGGAACTTAACTTTAATATAATATCGCGTACAGGAATTTAAAACCCAGGGGGCCAATTGACCCATATTACACCCCCTTGGGACGTCTATTATTTCGATTAATTCAGGTTCGTCAATATTTCTTATCGTAATTTCATAATAGTATCAAATATGACGTGCCTATAAGCCACAGTAATACGATTCGTATTAGTACTTATATACTAAAAAATAACCTCGAAAAAGACGTGATTTATTGTATTTGTAATCTACTTTCCTACCAGAAGTCTTGTTCCGATAATCTCGTGTGGCATTTTTTATAGTTTTTCATAGTTTTCTGGATAATATTGTGAAAAATTGTGGTGAATATTTATGCATTAACGGTTTCCGTTATTTTCGATTTTTTTGTTTGCGAATCGGTTAAAATATTTGTAGAAACCTGAAATTATTATAAAATACTTGTATATTAGCCCCTTTTTGGATGTAGTCAAAATTTTAAAACATTCTAGCGATTAAAAGCTATTTGTAGTTATTAGAAATGTTTCGAGTTTTTATTTGGATTTATGTAGACAAAATTATTTTAGTAAAAATGCTCGAAAATTTAATATGAGGTTCATTGCAAGTTGTATTTAGTGGTAAAAAAATTAATTGTAATGGATAATAAATTCATTTTATAACCGTTTAAATGTTTAAATTTTGACGGAAATCATAATAAATAATCGTATAATCACGGCATTTCAAAACATGTTAAACCGAATTTCGCTCAGAATCGTATTTTTTTTATACATGATTTATCTTTGCGTTTAAATATAAATCTATGAATTCTATATTCTCAACTTCTCACATACAACAATGGAACATCCATTAGCAGTATCAGCGCTTTTTTTTAATTTCTTACCATATCAGAAGATAAATCACCAACGTAAATCAGTGTACAAAATGCTGTACACAATATTTATCAGTGATTTACCTTCCGATATATACGAATACGATAATAATAAACGTTCTACGATCAATGATGGAAATATTATGTTAATTTAAACAAAACTATTCTCGATATTAATTTCTGAATATTTCTCTAGTACCGTTTTGATTCGGGGACAAGTCCTTAAGAGGACAGGATTTCCACATGGGCTGTCTCCGTCTTATGGACGTACGCAAATTTGGGTTCAACAAGGATAATTGTGTGTTGTTGGTTTTAATATCAAAGCGCATTGACCTATTATCAAAATTGAAAATAACATTATCTGTGTAACTGCGTTTTTTTTGTCGATATTTTATTTTTTAAGCAAAATATAATCATTTTTTACACAACGATTATTCACATACTCATATCTCGCTTTAAAATTAAAATATCAAAAAAAATCCGACATAGTTACACATATAATGTTATTATTTGTTTAAGTTTGATAATAGGTCAATTCGCTCTAAAATCAAAACTAACAGTACAAAGTTGCTTAAATAAAATTCCCTATGTCCTACGTTTGTAGAGCGGATATGTGCGGATATCGCGTCCTCTTAAAATAATAATTACCTATATAATTATGTTACTGACGAACACAATAAAATTAAGAATTATAAAATTATTCACTTTCGTTTAACTGTTAAGTTAGTCACGGTGTTTAGAAAAGAACAATAATGTACTCGTGTCAAATTCATCATCAAAGAAATAATCTTATTTTTACCGACCGCGTACTATACGTAATGCAATTGACTAATATTTCGAGTGTGATTATTATGCGATTTTTGCATGATGCAATTCGATTAGGTCATATTTTATTTTATTTGCATTTTGCAAAGACAACTCGTTTAAGGATTTCATACAACCGAGATCGCAGATTTTTATAGGTGCGTATATGCGAATTCAAATATAAATTCTTGGTATCGATTATTTTATAATATAAATAGGTCTGGAAATCGAATGCCTATTCCAATAAATCGTGTTAAATAATAGTATAAATCCTTAGTAATATAAGGCCTTTCAAACCATGTATAATCGAACTCCATTCAGAAGCGTTCGTTAGTAATGATTAATCGTTGCCTACATACATTCAATTTTCTCTCTAACTTCCCAACATCTCACCTACAACAGTCAGTTGCCCACCTATCGTGCGTAACATGTCCGTTTGTTTTATTATTTTTTTTTTATCATAGACCAGCAATTTTCTCGGAGGATTTTAAGTGAATTAGATTTCTGTTTTTGTAAATTATTGTAGAATCGATTAAACTTTATTTTAAAACCATTTTTAATTTTCTATCCCTATTCTATATATACCTTTATTAAATATATATTTTTGTTTTTTAAATTTTTCTAGATATTTTGATATGTATAACACTAATATCAGATTTACAATTTTTGAGTTATAACAGTTAAGACCGGAGGAGTAGCTATATAAGAAAGGATAATAAATTCCATATTAATTTTTAAATGATAAATTGATGATACTCTTCCCTACTTCTGGGATCTAAACTTTAAACGTTTATAACTCATAAACGGTAAATCTAAGTCAGCTAATAATGACAATATTAAGTAGTTATATACTAGTAGGGCTTTTTTCACCGATCTATCTAATTTTTATAAATTCATCCCAGTTTCATTTCACCCGTTGAATAGCATTTAAAAGGTCTCTATAGGGCGTTCGTTAGTGTAATTATTACTAATTTAACAGTGACAACAACAATGTATTTATGTTACCCGTTTTCTCGAGTAAAATTACTAAAATCGATTTATAATAACATATAAAAGTCAGGTACAATAAAATAATAAGTGTGAATTATTTAACTATTTTGATTAAACAAATGCAATATTGTTATGATATTTTTACCACATCAGTACTTATCAATAATAATAATAAAAACAAAAAAATCATACATATTTATAGAGTAACGACAATCGATTAATTATTTGTAAAATATGTCAGGACTCATGAGTCACGTTTTCAAAGAGACTTTTTTTAAATACGAAGTGTTCATAATCGTTTTAATAACAAAAAGATACTTTTAGTTCCGAGCTACTTGGCTATTGTTTATAATGAATATTTATGTTCAACAATAATAGTTTAAAAAACAGGACATATTCGCAACATAGGCCACTGGCGTAGACAAATTGTTTGGAAAGTAAAGAAACTATAGATTAATATAGTTTATACAGTGGCATACGCAAAGGGAAGTTTAGGGGTTATATTCCTCCCCCATTGACTTAAAAATAGAAAAAATAAAAGTAATTTAATATCGAAATGCATATATTTCAGCCAAGTTACGAGGAAAAACTTGATGTATCGATTAAAAATTAGATTTCTTTAGAATTCGGCTTTTACCATTTCATATATAGTCGAGAAGACGATTTTACAATTTTTATTTGGTACATCCCTTCCGTTGAAAATTCCTAGGCACGCTACTAAGTTTATATAAAACAAGAACAAATTATTGTAATAAAAAAAAAACGTTTAAGAACGGACCAAGGTAAACTCGTAAGGCTTAAAGTATTATAATTAGTGTTATCCTTAATAGTTATGGTAACCTAATCTAACAAGAATAAACCACCAAAAGTATTGAGAATTTCGAAATATGTTTCAAATCAACTTCCATTGGACGAAGAATAAACATCGTTTAGTATGGCAGGGAAAAAATCGGAGTATTTTTATTCACCAGAAAAAAAAAAAGAAGGTTTTTAGAGAAAAAAATGACCATCAATACATCGTAGTAAACATTTTTAGTTTTTGTGCTACACTCAGAATCTAAAAATCTATATAGGTACTTGTTTACTTTAAGGATACATTTTTTTTTTTTATTTACATTTTCAAAAAATAAGACGAAAAGGTGCAGGGTTTTTCAACGTTGTTAATAGATAAAAAAAAAAAAAAGGTATATTATAATAACTATGCCATATTTAAAACTAGGGCATTTTTAGTATTTTTATTTACATATTTTTGATATCAACATGTATGTTCATAAATTATAATTCTCCAACATAATATAAGGGAAACCTATTGAGCTATAAAAGATTTATGATACATTCGTATGGAGGTCACTCAACGGTGATTATAATATATTATGGTGATATATTTACATAATAATTATGCACATCCAGTATAATACCGAACCCGAGAATTCTCAACGGAGAGGGGAAGATGCACAGTAAATAATAATCATGATTCATGATAAATAAATCGTACAATCTTCTTCTGTTATATAGACTGTTATACAACCCTCACCCGACAATGAGAAATTAAATGCCGCAACCAAAAAATCCGATTTGTATTTAAATCTGTTTACCAGCCTATTTTCTCGTATAACATAGCCGGAAAAATATTACACAATTTCGAAATAAATAGGCACTCGTATTTTTTGAATACTTCTCAAGCCAATATAGAGGGGGGACAACAACTTATTTCTCCAGTGCGCACGCCAATGATACACCTTTAACAATTATCAATATATCCACTTGCTCGTTCGACTTCCGCTTTTTATTAATAACAAATATTTAGTTAATATAATTGTATTTTGAATTTTCACAGTATGATTAATTATAAGCTGGTAGGTACCTGAGTTTTCCGGCATATTCCATTTCGATGAGGCATCTGTCGCGTATAAAGTGTCCATACCGTTCTAGGAAATCGATACCTTTCTGAGTGTGAAACGATAAATTATCGTACTGGTCCTGGAAAATGTAAAAAAATGTTTATGAAAATAACACGAGAACGCCACCGCCGTTATTTTAGGTGCGAAGATCAAGGTCAGTAGTGTCACACAGATACGAGTAGGTATGCGCCTCTGCGTACTCAGAATAATAATGGGTGCCTACTATACTATGTACACCTTAACACCTATAATATAGTAAATAATATTATTACTATTCAATCTGTAAATCAATAAATATAAAATCTTAATTGATATATTATTATTGTGTTGGAAAAATGACCGCGTAGTTCGTTCGTAGTGTTGTTGTTGTTTTTTTTTTTTAATTAATTCAAACATATTTTCGAAATACCTACACGCGATACACGCACACAAGTACAATATCGAAAGGATAGAAGGGAGGTGGGGGATAATCGCTGTAGCCAAATATAAGGAAGTGAAAATGGTTTTATTTTATAGATTACAATAATATATAGGTAGCTCCTATCACCAACATACCATTGTTTCCGTTCTGTAAACGATTTTTATTATCATTATTATTATTTTTTTTTTTTTATTATTCCATTAATTATCAACACAAACGTTCAAATAACGGATTGTAGAAGAATTCTTGCGCGGTATATAAATTTACGCTTTCACTGGGCACAAGCTATACGGGAGCCTCGTTACTCCGGGAATACACAAATAGAAAACTCGAATGAATATTAATTCTGCACCGACAAATTCTAAACGAATATCAGTTATTCAAAAGGGAAAATGTCTATACTCAATCATAAATATATCACTGTAGATATTTGGCGATTTGTCAATTTCGTAAAATAGATATTACGACGATTATACCGAATTTCGATTATTTACCGAAACTAAAGAAATAGAAAAAAATTTGAATTCAGTGATAAGAATTCAATAGACTTTGAATCGGAAACGCGCGAGATAAATGAGCTAATAAAGTCAAAAATATTCTGCGGTTTATATTCTACGTTTCTGTAGTAGTCGTTAGGATGTCAAGGTTATCGACACTACTTTTTAAAATACAACGGAATCGTACAGACAAACTTTCTATAATAGTTTTAAAAAGATGGCTTGTAATCTTCCGCATGCCAATTTTGTTTACGATAAAATATTATTATTTTTATAAATCTGGGCGATCAGTGTTATTATATCGATATTGGTTTAGGCGTATGACAATAAATGTATACACGGTGTTCCACATTTTACATTTAACAATATTTGTGTTCACTCCGTCGTTTCCACCCTAAATCATTTATTTTTTTTTTCCAATTGAACGAGGGGACGAAAAATAACAGAAAAAATTATATCTTTGATCGTGACGTTACGAGGAAACATATTTTTCTGTTTTTTTATAGGTATTGAACCGCCGCACTATACTGCGATACCAAATCTATAGTAGTAAATACAGGCAGTAATGATACAAATAAACCAACTTCAAAATAAAGGGCAAAATCCAATAAGTAATATTGATTTACAAATCCCGACAAAGATAATACTTCGGTAAAATTATATAGTTACGTAGTTATATTTATTTAGATGAAATTATTAAATTCTTGCAAATACGCATAGAATATATAAATATATAGAACTTAATAGTATTAAAAAAAGGTTAATACTGCCGATGGGTGTGCCACTATTTTGGGAGGGAATTGGAAGGATGTATAGAGTAATTTAATTTATACCTATCTGTACGCAACAATAAATCATGACTAACATATAACTATTTTGAACAGAGCATTATAGTCGTATTTTTTCCTTTGTTGCCAAAGTAACCCAGAAATCAACAAAATTAAATAAATAAAGGCCAGCTTTTCCCATTTATTCAGACAACTACACGGCAAATTAAACAAATTATATACCCTATGCACTAAATAGATCAAATATTGTAAGGGAAAGTTTTATAAAGTTTTTAATAAGAGCAAAAATTCTGGTAGAAAAGTTTTTTACAAAAAAAAAAGACAGATACTTCTACTTCATACGATGAGTGGGTCAGTGTTGAAGGTGAGAAGTTAGAAAGGAAGGATATAAAGGGGAATTTAATGTTTATCTGTATGCAACGATTAATCATTGCTAACGAAAAACGATTCTTAGAGGAGTTCAGTTATACATGTTTTAAAAGGCCGTAATATTTATAATTTTCATCAAAATTCTTATAAGAAAAAAAAAATAAAAAAAAAATACTATATTAAACTCAACTTTTTCTTGTTGACCACTAGTTACAACTTATAATTAACCTCCTGTTAAATGTTTAAGCATTTTTGTTTGGTTTAACAATTTTATCCACAGAGTATACTTACTGAGCAAAAATTACGTAAATTACTCACAAAATTAAAATTTCTATAAATAGGCTCAAATATTTTGAATATTTTACCCCGTCTAAATAGGCAATAATAAGTTTTTCAATCAAATTTCAAATGTTTACGATCATTTTTAACCGTGTTATAACAAAATTGAAAATAAAAAAAAGCATTATTTTCGTAAATCTCCGGGTTTTCCTATTCCCAATTATTATGAAAACCACTTGGAAAATCAAAAAATGACCACTTTAAAGTACCAAAAAGATAAAATATCCTTTTAGAAAAGGTGCTACACTTGATACATCAGAGCAAAATTCCTGGCAGAAATTATGTACACAGTATATATATATACATATACGAAAAAAAACATCGTTGTAAAACCAATACATTCTTCGTTTCGTTCAGAATTTAAAAATGATATAACGGGACAATTAAGTGATTAAGTAAAACCAATGTACCTTGTACTTAAATTTCAGCAAATATATTGTCTCTAAACACGGCTGTATTACGATATTAAATCACTTTGGAATTTCCAGAGAAATTTCAAAATGTCGATTTCCAAAAAAATATATTGCCTATTAATATTTAAGAGACTCGACTTTCTTCGGCGAATGAAAAAAACCTGTCATCTGTGTACAAATTACTAGCCGTAATCTCGACAACTATAAATCTAGTCTCAACATAAATTATTATATAAAGGTTTGATATTATATTCCGTACATGGATAAAAGACGACGCAACTTCGGGTATTAAAGAACGGTCAAATGTGTATAAATAGTATATAACTCCTGTTTATCGAGAAAAAAAAAACGATTTCTGTTAACGCCCGGAATAGCCAACAAGGGTAGAATCACGTTGACGACGATCGCAATTAATTCAGACAAGATTCGTACAAGAAAAACCTGTTGTTCTACTTTCTCCGGACAAACACACACGGGTACTAAATGTAATAATAATAATAATAATAATATAATAGGCAGGAACTCCGCGGTGCGTTTTACAAGCCGAAATGATGTTTCTAAAATAGTAAGTTTTCCTGTAAGAAAATCATTTAACAAAAAATTTGGCGGGCATTGATATTTAGCATTAAGGATAAAATATCGCAACTGGGTATTTAGATACGGTCCGTCACGGCGTTAAAGTCACAACAGTGTAACTATGCAAATCTTTGTGCGTGTACACGAATTATTTAGACGACCGTGTAAATAAAATCATTAGAAGGCTTACAACATATAATATTTTGATCGTTATTGCGGGTTTTACTATAGATACGCACGGGAAACAGGATATGCAACCCGCGTGGGAGGATGTTATTAATTACATATCAAATGTCAATGGAGTATGAACGTGTATATATACGTGACCGTATGACGTAGATAAACAAATAAGAAAGAAAAATGCTGTTGAAATATCGAGTAAAAAAAAAAAATGTATATACCTAAATATCGTGTCACTGACAAATAATATTAATATGTAACATAAATTGAAAAAAAAAAAATAGGAAAAAAAGAACAAAACTTATGTAGGAAGATTGCTAAATGCGAATTTATTTTTATTTTTTTTACATATAAACTAATATGTACCTCTAACAACAATAATTTAAATATTATCAAAACTCGTTCAAAGTTATTAAAGAGTCAACAAAATGAAAACAAAAATATTAGCTAATGGATTTTTTTTGCAAGTTCTTTTTTGCTCTGTATTTATCCCACGTAAGTGGACCCGGGCTATTCTTATTTGCGTCCTCCGCATTGATTTTTTTTTTTTTTTGTATGATATTTAAGTGAATTTGGTAAAAACCATTAGTAGTCAACGATTTAAAATACACACTGGGATATTTACGACCACAATAATATTGTCCTCATATAAAATATAATTTTAATAATAAATAAATTGTTTTATACTTTTAGTTTTTCTTGGAAAATTCAAAGTACAAATTAAGTTAATTATTTATACTTTGGTATAATAAATATACCTAATAGAAATGTGAAAAAACCTAATATAATAATTAAATTAAAATATGATATTATTGTACCTATTTTAAATATGATTTCCAAATAATAAGGCTACTTATTTAAAAACAAATTTTAACTAAACTATAATGTACATTAATTATCTCGAGATTAGTAATACATTTTTAATTCTTGTATAAAATGACTAACAACACAAAAAAATACAGACAAAATGACTGGGGAAGTTACATAGAAGATGAACGAACTATAATGAAAATATTTTTAGAATTGGTTGACTTGAAAAAGAAACGTGATTTCAATTTATCTTTGGAATAGATCTGATTCCGGTTACACACCCAAAACTAAGTTTGTTATTATCTCTGGTGACAATATTATTTAAGTTGTACTATAGACTTCATATTCAAATAATACAATACAAATAAGACAAACCAATAAACTTTATTAGATAGCATAAAATGTTATTTGTTATATAGATAATGTCGTATTTGATATTTGTCATAGTCATAATTATTATTATTCATCATCAGATAATATATAAATAGGTGTTGACTGTAGGTAGGTATTATAACAAATTGTTTTTTTAAATTGTATAACAAAAAATAAACTGATCCACAATAAACTTTGATCCACTGAAGATAGATATTGTAAGGTGACAGTATTTCTCTGTGTTTTCAGATAAAAATGTAACATTCAAATAGATAAATATCATTATTTAGTTCAAAAATAATATTATGTTAAATATAAAATTGTATATTATTATCACCAACATAAGTATGTAAATTTGATTTTTGGTCTGTCATTTATTTACAAAATATGTGATTTGTAAATAATTATACAGAATATTATGTATATAGCTAGAAACCTACACATTAATTAAGTAATGTATATTCAATCTATATTCATCTAAGTGTATACTTAAATTAATGTTTTTTAGAAAAACATTTATTTGTTAAACAAAATTAATTATTCCACCAAATAGTTATTAAATAACTTTTCTACCAAATACAAATTTATCTGATAAATAATAATTACTATAAAACACTTGTAAAAAGGACTTAAAACAATAATACAGAATCAATGTTAAGAGACAAATTTAAAACTATATTACTAGGGGGTCTATCAAAAATCGTAATATTTGAAACAACCTTCGTAGGTACTGTGTGTAGTATTAAAAAAGGTAACCAGATTACATATAATATATAATATTTTATCACTTAATAATATATATATATGGAGACGAGTACTGATAACATGACCAGGAAAATAAACACATAATGAGGTGGTAAGGGGTGCTCGTAAAGGAAGAAATAACCCAGCATTACCAGTTGGTTTTTGTGGACAGTACCCCTTGCTTGTTCTGTCATTCGTTTTTTGATCCTATATAATACCTTAGTCCATAATGTATAAATAAGTGGACTTATCATTAAACTGTGTAGACACCTGTATTGATTTTTACCTACCAATACTATATTTGGATATTGAAAAACCATTATTTATAATCTGGCAAATAACTATATTGAAAATCTGGGCCAAAAGTATTTATAAGTACCTATGTATGTTAATACAAATATTGTTTCATTTTTTTAAAACATTTAATTTTCACATTTAGGTATGTTTTAACAGAATAAATATTTTTTAAATATTTAGATTAATAGGTAATATTAGTCTAAAAACCAAATAAATAGGGACTATTTTAAAATGTACCATGATATTATGACATAATTTAATTAAATAATAAACATTGCAGGTAGGTACTCAAACAAATTAAGTTTGTACCTAAATTAAAATTCCATATTTGTTTGATTGGTTGACTACCCTCGAAAATTACCTAACACCTTTAAAATATTATAAAACAACATAATTTTATATCTACCTACCTACATTAAGTCAAATGGCATAATATTTTATTATAATTAAAATTGCCCATTGCTTATTCATGAATATAGTAAACTATATTTAAATTGAAGTAGGTAATAATTATGAAAAACATATATATTGTTTATATAATAAATTACTATGAGGGCTAATCAATTACAGTACTTACACAAAATTTAAAATTAATGCTTATATTTACTACAAAAACTAATTTTTACTATATAGGTAGGTAGTTACACTTTTTAACATTTACTTATTATGATAAAAATCAACATAGGTAAATATGTTTCACACATGTACGAGTAGTAGGTATTCAATATATGAAAAAAAATTAATGAAATAATAGTGTTGTAAATAAAATTTAAACAGAGAACATAGTAAAGGAATGTTTTTAGGTATGTTTACATTAAGTGTTTGACTAATGATGCATACAATTTGGTTAAGCATGTCTGTATTATAAATTATTTAAAGAGCATTATGCTATAATAATTTGTTGGGTATTAAATCCATATTCTATTAAAAACAAAAATATGTAGGTACAAGTTGTTTTATTCAGAACATCATATACTAAAAATAGCACACCATGAATGATAAGCTACGTCATATGTGATCTATATTTCACGGGCAGTGCTCACTGCTTGATGATTTGAAAGAAACAAATGTTAAAGGATAAGTAGGAATCATTTTGTATATGTGTATCAGAACTAAAGAAGTTAATAATACTTAATTTACTGCAAAATTATAATATTTATTAAACAAACAAATGAAACAAATTGAATAAAAACTGACAAAAATATTAAATACACATCATAAAATTAAATTTTAGATATAGGAAGTGTAATTAGAGAAAATCGTTGGCACTTGATTTATTTTGACCGGCGTTAAAATAAATGCAATTTTGTAATTAGGAGCAGAAAACAAATTAATAATAATTTATAGATATAATTTAAATAACTAATTACAAAGATATTTATTTGTTTTATAGAAATATAATAGGTTATATTTTGTATTTGATATCCATAAAGAAAATTAGGAAACAATATAAATATTCACATAGAGTGCATAAAACCTAAAATTCAAAATTTCATTTATTTTCATATAATTCATTTCAAACCAAATAAGCAGAACAATAAGCTAAGTTTTTGAAATCTCTCAAAGATACACGTAAATATTATTTTGCCTAAATATGAAGTAAATAAATGACATCATAAACTCAATCGCTTTTAAACAACAGATTATAAAATTAATATTGTAACTTACAATAAACTACAGCAGGTATATACTATTAATACTCACTAATATGACTAATAACTATATTTTGTGTTGCATTCATATTAATAAAAAATAACTATTGTTACATATTAATTATATAATTAGGTACCTATAAAATAATTATAATTATCAAAGTTATGTCAAGTAAATAATAACCATGTTTATTTATTTAGTTTATACTGTCATTATCAGTTGTTATTATACAAAAAAGAAAAAAACCTCACCATTTATTCTAATTTCATACCAAACTTCTTCAGTTAAAAATGAAACAAATTGTATAAAAATAAATAATTTACCTATTTAACTATATATATTAACTAAAAAAATATGCTAGATGCCTACCTAATAAATGTGTTTTAACTATATAAAAAGATTTTTTTTATCACGAACCAAACATTTTTCAGAGGATTTTAACAGAATATGATTTCTGTTTTATTTTTCTTAATCATTGTAGAATTGGTTAAGCTTTATTTTAAAACTTTAATTTGCTACCCCTACTCCATAGGTACACCTTAAATATGTACCTATCTACTTTTGTTTTTCAAGTAGGAATTCCCCCTTTTGAACACAGATTTTAATGGAAAATATTTTTCTAGAAATTTTGATATGCATAACAATAATATCAGATTTACTGTTATAAGTTATAACCTTTTAAAGTTTATACTGGAGGAGTAGTAAGGGGTAATAAATTTCATAAATATTTTTGAATGATAAATTAATAACTCTTCCTTACTTCTCTGGTCTAAACTTTTAACAGTCATAATTCTTAATAGTAAATCTGATATTAGTGTTACACCTTATGTGTACCAAAAATTTCTAAAAAATTATTCTGTATTCAAATTAGTGTTCATATGGGGGTTCCTATTAGAAAACAAAAGTATGTACTTATTTAAGATACATGGAGTATGGGTAAAAAATTTAAAATGGTTTTAAAAAAGTTAAAGCTTAAACAATTCCATAGTGATTAATAAAAAAAAAATACTTTAAAAACGAAATGATAACATTTTTTTTATTGGATTTCAGTCAATATCAAAGTAGAAAACAGATAGATTTATGATGATATTTAAATTTTGGTTGCTCATGAATCATATTTAAAAATTAAAACAGACAGTATGCTATTAAAAAGTAATACATACAAAATATTATTAACCTTGCGCAAAATGTGAGATACTATTACAAAATGTATAAACTATCATTGTTATTTTGAATGTGTAACTAAATTCTTCATCATTATAATAATAGACAGTTCATTAACAAACAACAGAACAGTTTAAACTTTATTTAAAAATTCAAGTAAGTATTTGCGTATATTGTACCTACACACTGCCTAAAATTGTTAATATAAATAATAGTTATAATATTATAATTAGTATAGTTAGGTAGTAGGTAAAATCAATGTTTCTTTTTAATAATAACTCTAAAAAGTGTTCAACCAAAGGAGTTGAAGAATAAATAGCAATACTATACATAATAACAATATCTCTGACAATATTATCACCCAGCAATATGAAATAGACAGTAATTAGAGAATTAATTGTCAGAAAGACATTAGCTAAAGATAAAGATAGATAGACAAGTATGTGTTGCAGTAATAAACCTCAATGACCTTTGAGAAGCCGAAGAAAAATAAAAAATAAATTTTAAATAAGTTTAGTGATTATAAAAGATATTAATTTTGAAGTCTTTCTCTGAATTGATATTTATTTATTTTTTTGCTTAGTTAATTTTTTATGTATGATATTTGTTTAGTTACTAAAAAATAGTGTGAAAAAGTAAGTGAAATAGTTAAGTTCAATAAATACCAAAAGTAAAGATAAGAAAAAAAAAAAAATTGATGTTATTCTATAATACAGAATATTATCATATTATAAAAATTATTTTTAAAATGATAAACCTAGTTTAATTATTAGTTTGTGATTTAATATGTAGATATATAATTTTATTTTTTGTCATATACTAAATTCATACTTGCATTTGGGTTAAGTACATATATGATAAAAGTTGACTAATTTAATTGGTTATATTGTTGTGGCATACTAGGTACAATATTTTTCAACGGAATTAAAAATTACTATGTGATTTAATTTAATTTATATTTTTTTATTATTATGATATTCCTATCTAGACACTTTTATTTTTTTTTTAAATTTTAATTTTTAGTACCCAAAGACTATTTATTTTTTAACAGATATTTTATAATTGCTAAACAAAATTGTTTAACATATTACATATTCTTCAACAATTTAAATATATTAATACATTTAATTAGTATAAAAAAATCAAAGTATATTTATGATTAAGCAAAAAACCTTCACTGAAAATTATAATTATTATTATAGTTTAATAAAAACTCAGTAGTTATTTGTATTCATACCTACTTATTAATATCAATTGTTTAGAAATCTAAATCAAAATTAGGTAGATATATTTTGACATAATCTATAACTGTTGAGGTAAATGTGCAGGGTCATGTTAATTAACAAATGCAAAAGTTTTATCACAGAAAATGTTGTTAGATCACGGTTACCTCATAATATTTCTTTAGCAATATTATGCTGAACTGTTATACTTTGCGTACCCATCTGCATTAATAATATTATCTAGGTATTACATTGTATTCATAATATACCTAATACATAAATAATTTACATTTGTGTAATTCATTTAAATTCAATATAATAGTATATAGTAGGTAGGTACAAAGTATCATTATAATATATATTATAGGCTATAGGCATAGGATATTATATATAATAGGGTGTTTCCGGATAAACAGCTTTTGAAAATCAACAACGAGATCAACAAGTAAGTAAAAAAACTATTGTCAAATATTTAATAGATACAATATAAAAAAAAAAAAAACAATAAATGTAAATTTGCTGATATTTCATTTAAGTACATGGCATACTTATAAAAAGAATAGTAGGGATAGATAAAACTATATACAACAAAGGCGGATCCAGGACAAGATGATGGAGGGGGAGAATTTTTTTAAATTAATATATATAAAGCATACATTTATGATGAATCAAGGTAAGAGTTTATTTAAAAGGGATTGCCTACCTCATGGATTCACCATAAATTTACAAACAAATAACAAATTTGGATCTAAAAAATCTGGTTATATTATATTAATGTATTTTATACTTATGAATGCCTAGGATTGTAATTTTTCTTTGAATATAGATATTCGAGTAAGTAAATTAATGGGTAACAGGTAAATTAGAGAATTTGTATGTTGATATAGTCTGGCAAGGAATTTCTTAAAATATAACTCCTATTACCTAATTGATAATTTGTTTTTAAATAATTTAATAATAATCAATAGAATGAAATTATTGTTATTTGCTGGTGTTATCATTGTTATCTAATTAGCTAAATGATATTTATTTAAAACAATGAACACAAAATTGTTAGATGACAAAATATATTATCTATAGGCACCAAGGTAGGTTCTATATTAAGTGTGTTACAAAAATCAACAACTTTATTTATAAAAAAACTACCTGATTAATTTGTAATGTAAATAGTATTTAATTAGTACATACCTATTATAAAAGAAATTATATAAGGATTTCCCTTACATAAAAAAAACCAGAACAAAATATTTACTTTAATTAAAAAAATGTTATTTTGTGAAATTTCCACCGTTTCCTACCTACTTAGATACAAAAGTTTATTATAAGTATTTATAATTATAAGATTAAATACAACAAGATAGGTAATATTCTGGGTAGTATTATGCATGTATTTCAATAACATTAGATAGATAGCCTTTCACACACACATTTCTAAATTTAAATTTACCAATGTGTATACATCACATGTATATGAAAAAGATGCAAAAAACTATTTAGATTAGTACTTAGTTTGAGAAAACTATGAACATTAAATAATGTAAAAACGAATAGTAATTTTTAAAAAATTAACTAGGTAATATGGTAGGTGGTACCTAATAATTGGATCAATCAACAGGAAAACTTTTAATTATCAAAAAATATTTGGATAGATCCACTTGTTACGAAAACTTGTACAAGATACTAACCCATAATTCCGTTCCCCAACTCATTTTCCAGTGTTTTTCCACATTAAAAGAAACAGGTGCAACGGACAGGAATTGCGTTATCAGGTGTTCGGTGGGCTTATTGAATTTTGCACACGACCGAACTATTATAGTTAAATAATCGTTTGGTAGAATAATAACAGGAACACAAAAAACACTCAACCGCGCTACTATACGACACTATATTTATGATAGAACTATTAGAAAAAAAAAAAAATAAATATCAAATAGTAAAATATGCGATTATTTATTTTTCGTTAAAATTTCAATAAATGGTGAACGTAATAAGCCCACGGGCAAATACGATGTCAGTTACTAATAAATGGGACAACTGCGCGAAACGGGTGCGACTAACAAACTGATAAAAACAAAAAAAAAAAAAACAAAAATTAAAAAACACTCGACGTCAACGGGCGCAACGATGTCTAGTGGCGGACTATTCGTTCCATGCCACGTACGATTTTATTCCATGAAGCGCGGTATTTTATGATAATAATATTTCCCTCCGTATGGTAAATTTAAAACGAATTCTACGGGCGTTTCTAACGAAAAATAAATGTAAGTACCGTAGAGTTATTAATATAGGTATATGGTATTATAGGTAGGTATCTACACATTTTAACCGATTGATTTTATTATTTTCAAAACCGAAAAAATACCGCAATAAAGTCTTATTGCGCACGTTTTTTAAATATTCCATTATCAAATATTAATTTTTATTTTCTCCTCCCACTCAAATACGTATCTATATACTTTCACAGGTATATATGAGGCCGCACGGGAGAAGTTATTAATATTTGAGTCACTGCACCGAAATCTTATATATTTTAATTTGTTTTATTCTGTATTTTATTACTATTTCAGACAGGTACTCGAGGAAAAAAAAAAAATTCAGTAAGGAATTTTTTTCTTGTATTTATATTTTTATATTTGAATACCATTTTCGGGTATAATTTTTTTGTCTAAATTTTGTTAAGTTTGAATTCTTACTACTGGTTATTTTATGACTCTCTTATTTCCTTATCACTTATTATTTAAACCCACTTAGTTTTATAACGTAAAATTAAAACAAAATTTGAAGCCTTGTATGAGAATATATATGAATTACTAATTGCAGAATGGAGGTGTGTCCCTAAAACTAAATTTTACAGAAGGCACAAAAAACTGTCTATGCAAGACTGAGAAGAAGCTAGGCGTAAAAATAAATATATCACGTTATCATCTACCTTTTTAAAAATGAATTATCTTGATAATTTCCAAAAATTAATATGAACCATTGGTATTAATTTTAAATTCTTGGACAAGTCCCCTTTCTGCAATTAATCATTTTAAACGTAGGTATATTAATAAAAACATGTTTTTTTTTACAATAAAAAATCATTTATTCTTTTAAGCAATTTAGAAATTTAATTATTTAAGTTGCTGCGAGTTGGTTACTCGTATATTGTTCTCAAAAATCTGAAAACAGATTTCTTTGGAATGTCAGGCTTCAAACGTTTCAGTTAATTATTTTTTAAATTTATTATGATAATCTTTTGGGTGTACAGCTGTTTCTTGGGTAGTTTGATTAGCGAAATATATATAATTTTTAAAAAATTTACAAATATTTTAAAATAAAAAAGATCAAATATTTTTTACACCACAAGCACGGAAAAGAACAATTAAAAATAATATTAATAAATAACAGGATGAAAAACTATTGGCTGATAATGAATAGAACTGAACCCATATGGAGTGATTCAGTGGCGCCGAACGTACATGTTGGGTGTGGCGGCCGTCTCACCTAATTTAAGGGGTGAGTATACCCTCTTTTAATTTTTCGACTGGAGTAATAATTCTGATAGAAAATATCATGTATAAATTTAAAATAGTGAAATCTAACCTAACGCCGTAGGACATTGTAAATATTTGTCGTTTTAATTATAATACACTAAATAGACAAAATTACCTTTTAGAAAAAGTGTTACACTCTATACATTAAAACACAATTTCTGGTAGAAAAGTTGTTCAGTTTCAGATATAAAAAAAGAAGTAAATAATATAATTTGTGAAAATAATATTTTATAGTTTAAGAAATTGGGAGTTGGTGTGAGGCATGCTATGTCCAATGCCCCCCACGACTTAAGTTTAATACCGTGCAGATGTGGGTGGGTATAAATTAATGTTTATTGCCACACATAGGTACAAAACATTATTTCGGCGCCACTAGAGTGATTCTATACAAAAACCACGTTGTCACGGTAATTTATTGAGATATTTAGCGCAGAAAAAGAATTTGTCCACTTTCTGTATTAAACACTAACTTAAGCTGTTGATATTTTCATAGCGGTTCTATGGAAAAATTTAACTATAAAACAATAGTTACATTTTTACACAAAATATGTATTCAAGAGTCAAGATAGATACATACAAATCAGGTAATAACTCAATTTTGTCAGAAATTTAACGTGTCTTTCTGCAATATTAGTGATTCATACTGCCCACCCCCCGGCTGTATCCACTACATCGCCAGTATCCTGGCCAAGGAGCGCAATCCCTTGAAACGAACCAACGTAATAATGTACTTCGCTTTAATAACATAAAACAATATATTTATAATACTTATAATAATATTACTATCTAATAATAAATAATAATAACGAATTTTGGGAGAGAGACACGTGCCCCCCAACTGGTCAACACTGTTTCGATCAATAACAAGTGATTAATTAGTGAAACAGACAACTATTGTAATATGAATGCTAGGACTGGCATAATTATCATGAAATATTAATAAGAGAGTTCAGTTGATAGTGATGCTTTGTCAACAATATATATGTCATTTTATAGTAAAATAATTAAATAGGCTTTATATATATTTTTTAATACAATTTATTTAATGTTGTACCGATTTTTCCAATTTTCCTCAGCTTTTCCCATGTTTTATCCCGGTTTTTCACATTTGCTGGGAAAATCAAAAAATGACCTCTCTAAAGTACCTCCCTAATGAAATTTTCTTTTAGAAACATTGCTATAATTAAAAGTTGGAGCAAAATTGCAGGTAGAAAAGTTGTCCACAGAAACAAAAAAAAAAAAATATACATATTTGTAAAATCATATGCTTCTTCGCTCTTTCTAGAATCTAAAACAGTAGTACTTAATGGAAATATTAATTTCAACTTGAAATAATATTATAATTATTTTATGGTTTAACACCCTAAATATTTAAGGGCTAAGTTGATGTTGATAATTTGTTCTTTATCATCATGTATCCGCGTTAAACCTCTAAAATATCACTTGATCAAATGTTTATTGAACTAACATAGTATCTATCTACGCCTAACATATAAGTAGGTACTTATAAATTCATATATTCAATAATAATATAGTCATGGCTCTTTATTTTTATTTATATTTTTCTACTACACGTCTATACAAATACAATATAATATTATTATCAACTAAATTAGTCATATTAGTAGAGAATTGGTAAAAAAAATAAAGTACTTACATAGTTTTATACTTTTTTTTTTTTTATAAAGCTACAAAAAATTAATAAATTTACCTTATTTACTTATGAGCCACGGTTTTATGTAAATAATTATTAATTATTTAAAAATAATAACAATAAAATGTTGTTGTTTTTTGTTTATTATAAGTATTATATAGTACTATTTATATGGTAATAATATAATGATAAGTTTTCTTTTTTTTAAATAATACAATAATATATAGTAAATTGTCTTCTATTTGCTGTATGTTTTTATATTTTATATACTATAACTGTATATAATAGCTATACAAACAAATAATAAAATAAATAATAATTTGCCACATGTCAATGTAAGTATTTTTTTAAAAATGTATTCATGTATTTAATTGTACAAAATTCACTTTTAAATAAAGATATATGTGTATATAAATCAAGAGTATGGTACCTACAATTGTACAATTCTTACAGCATCACATTCCTCTTCCCTCGTGACATGTACAAACCATCACAGACTATTTTCTCCGTAGATAATATTATGTATTATCTAGGATTTTCTCTCATTTTGTCTACTATTGAAGCCATGCCTAAGTTACCTCTTATGCATTCATCCCTTATCCTATCTTGTTGTAAGTCTTGTTTAGAACTCCTCAAAATCTTTGACTTAATTTGTACACAGGCTGTAGACCTGACGCAACTCCACTTGTTGCCTCTAATGACAGGTGGTAGTATTTCAATCCCTTCCTACAGGGAATATTCGACCTATATCTGTATAAATATTAAAATACATAAGCAAACTAGTTTAGGTAAATGTAACACAATGATATTATCATATTTTACTTTACCTCATATGCTTGTCTATGGATATTATGATTAGTCATTTTCATTAATTGACTAATTAATCAAAATGTATGTAGGTCGGTAGCAAAGACCTATAATTTATAGGTCTATGGTAGGTAGGTATACAGGTAGGTAGGCATGGTAAAAAACAAAATTATACTTGGGTATACCTTAAGGTTTAAAGGTAATGTTATATAGTTTATAGGTAATAATACCAGTGTCGAATAGTGCTAAATTTTATTACCGGGAACTGGAACTGGATTCAAGGGCCCCAAAAACGTATCCAATTCAAACTTAAAATAAGGTCTGGAGACCAAGTAGCGAGGCCCTGTAACTAAGTACGGGCGGGGAAATCGTAAATTCTACAGGACCTATTTAACAATGTACAGTATGGGTACGACGATATTATATTAAGTAATTGATGCCTAATGGCTAATAATAATAATAATAATAACAATAATAATATATTTATTCGGGGCCATAAAAACAGTTATTAAAGTAGCAATAATGTCTAACAATTACGCATCGTTCACCACCGAGGTGTAATCTCGTATCGGTGAAATTGGAGTCTTATCAATCGGTTAATTATTTATTAATAATAGATTAGTATTTAACAATACTTTAATATGCACATACATTTAACTTTAATTTGTCGCAACAACGCAAATACGCAATAAACTTGTTTTATCGCATATTTATTGATTATTACTTATAAATTGGACGTTTTTATTTCGTTACAACGTTAAGATGTAAAATCGATCGATGATCATACGATATTAAGCAGAAAAAAAAAAAAGCGTGAATTATATTATTTCGTTTTCCGGTAACGGTATCAGGTACCTATACCGTCGGACCGAGTTTGTTTTTAAAGCACCCGCCCCTCATAAACGCTTACACCAGCCACGTAAAGTGAGTAGGCGCGTGTCCGTTTAGGGTCCCGATTTCGCCGCCAATTGTTCCGCCCCCGTGTACCGGATCATTTTCAAACGCGCTATTTGCCGATTTCTTTCAAGATAGTAATTCCGTCGGCGAAAAGGTTT